TGCGCAATAGTTTCAAGTACGTAAAAGATCTAGCCAAATTTCTACAATTACCGAATATTATGGATTATTACTATCCTGAGCAAATTAGATTCATGAATGCTCTGTCCCATCCAGCTATGATACCACCAATTGATATAATAGAAAATAGACCCAATATTTACAAGAAATAGTCTATAAGTATAGAAAAATACTGGAATCTATTCCAAGCATTATAGCAAAGCTAGCATCTTTGACACATAAAAAATAAATATAGTATCAAATGATATTAATATAGCCTAAGTTGTCACAACTCGAAGTTATAAATTTTTTTCATTATATCCTATATATTGATAACTTTCAAATCAACAGATCTGATCCAAGGTATTGATGTATATCATATACCTGGCATATATAGATTAAATTTTTCAAACTCTCATTAAGTAATGCTATATCCTCTTTGATCCCATTAATATTTTTAGTAATTTTATTACGTAAAGCTATAGATTCTAAAATCTTCAATCTATTCCATGTCTTGTTCATATCCATTTTCTGATAGAATTACAATAATCACAACCCATTCAATTTTGGGTATAGCTATCCATGGATAATTAATTTCGATTTGAAAAAATATTTTTTATAGTGTAAATAACCTAAAGAATTGTTCATAACCTACTCAATATTAGATCATGTCAGCTATTGTAACTAAAATTGTTAAAAAATATAATCTCAACAACGAGATGAGTATATCTGAGCTCAGTAAATATACCTCAGAATTTCTTGAAAACCTTACTGATGATAGAAAGCAAAATCAAGATCGATGACATCTTCAAGATGGTTTTAAATTTAGCAGTGATCAGATAAGTATATTAATATCTAATCAGAGAAGTAATAAGGTCAAGATTATAAATATCATCGAGGGTAGTTGCAAAATAGCTATAGCTTCACCTCCTAAAGATTTGGAAGAAGAGATTATCAGAGAGATAACTAATCTTACAGAATAGATATGGATTTAGCAGGAGACAAGTGGATGATTTATTCTCTACCCAGAAAAATGAAAGTATGTTTAAAGAGCCATTACCCTGCAATAGAGACATAAATATTGCAATTTCTAACAAACTCTCAAAAGAAATGAAGAAAGAAACTATTGGAGATATGGCACAACAGATTTTACAGGATAAACTTAGTATTAGAGATGTAAAGGCTGAAGCTTATGCCTTAGCTCTATCAGCAAAAAATACTAATGCTAGCTCATCATGTCTCATTCATCTTCGTAGAGAATTAAGGAACCTTAATGCATCACTTGAGATAATCAAGGCTACGAAATTTCCAGATATTACAGAAGATGCCAACAAAATCCAAAGAGTTAATCAGAAAAAGACTGAAACTAAATGTATTAATTATTCAGATGAATTTACATTAGAATTAGTCAAAGAAAGATTAGACGCGTATGATTTAAAAACTCTGCCCAATTATTGGGCTCTTGCTGATGTCATGGTGATGCTTTGTATTCGTCCTGCTAAACTTATAACTTTACATATTACAGATGCCAGAGTAATAAAATATGCAAAAAATTGGGATCAACCAGTTATTCCTAGAAAATTTAGATCTATGGAAAAGAATCAAGAACGAGCCAAAGAACTACTCACTTGAATTCAGCATGCTATATCATCTGGATGAATAGGTGATCTAGGTAAGCCAGAAGTTAAATGGTTCAATAAATTCTTAAAAGATTATGATTTAATTCCCAAATACTTATGAAAAATAGGTGCTGTTTATGGTGTGGTAGTACATGAGACTAAGAATATGGTCTACGCTTATACAATTGCTGAAGAATACCTACATCATTCATCTGATAACCATACTTCTCCTGTGCAAAATTATGTTGTAGTTAATTACAGGTCTCGTGGGTTTAGTGCTGAGAAGGCAAGACCTTTCCAAATCTATGATCAAGATTAATTGTGCTTCTTCATTTTTACCATATCTACAGTAAAATCTTCATTATCATAAGAGGATTCAGAATCAGACCCAGATGAAGGCGAGGATGAGGACGAAGATACTGTATCATTTAAAAATCTCTTTTTTCTTTTAGCCTTAGATAGTGTATAATTTCTTCAAGAAATATCTGAATTTACTATTAAGTCAATAATCTTTAGTCCAATCTCAGGTTTCACTATTTTCATTAATTGGTAAAGAGAAATTGAAATTCTTCTATGTGATATCTGTTTAACAATATCAGATACCGATTTATTAGTAATATGTGTCTTGGCACTAGCTTCGCTATTGGGTAAACTTTTATCTTTTTCAAAACCCAATTTTTTCGTAATCTCATAAGTGATAATTGGACATTCTGAACCCAAATCACAAACTACTTCTGTATCTCTATCATTGATCAATATTGATAATTTTTTCACTGATTCTATTAGCAATGCAATTTCATTATCATTCTCTTGTAAATTCTGATGAGCTGGTCCAATATTGCTATTAGCTTCAGTTATTGTAAATACGAAATTATTATTTATTGATACGAATTTAAAAATGCAAAATTAAATATATTATTATAATAAAACATCATGATGAGAATTTTATCTTGCAAAATTAACAAAGTACCAGTTAAAACTATATTAGATTCCAGTACTAATTGTAATATTATAGGTGAAAGTATAGCAAAAATAGTAGGCTTGAAAATTAATAATACATCTGATACAGAAATATACAGTCTCATTAGCGAGCTCAATATATTGGAAATAATTCATGCAATGGAAATTTCGGTCCTGTCTCAAGATCAGAAATGGGAGCAAGTAAAAGTTACCGATGTTTTCATTACCAATGAATCCGAACTTGAATCTGTACTGATATTGGGTCAGCTGTGATTCCAGAAAAATGCAATGAAACTGGACTTCCCAAATAAAACTCTCACATTACTTAATGGAACTAGTTGTGAGGTTAAGTTAATTGAGAATATTTGGGAAATGCATAGCATATATGCCTAAAATTTCATACCATGTTGCATTGTACATTATATTTTTTAGCTAATTTCAAAGAATTTTTATTTGCTGTGACATATATATATCTGTGATAATTTTTCCTTCTTTACTTTTGATTCTAGACATGGGCACTGATTGTTGTTAGCTGATTTTTTGATGAAAATTTCATGCAATTGTTGAAGAGTGACATTTGGAAACAATGATAGTCCCTCTCCAGTAAAATAAAACATTTTTACTCCACTATCAATGAATTTCTGTATTAACACACTTGGAATATCTTCTAAAGGACCATGAAATTCTTCAAACTTTCGGAGGTACACTCTCGTATTTTTATCGGCTTCTTCCGCCATTTCTTGATTAGTATAACCAACAATACCGATTTTTTCCTGAATTGTTACTATATCGTCTTCCAAGTATAAAAGCAAACTAAATAATTTCGAAAGTGATAAATTGGAAGAACCTCTATTGTTTTGATTTGACACATTATTATATTCTACTGCCAGAATGGGGTTGCCATCAATGTCGAGATTTTTCTGTATCAGTATTAAATCTCCCACCAAATGTAATAGCAACTTATATGAATCAGCAAGTGTTTTTCCATCGGACTCATGTTTTATTTGCTTTAACGTATTACTATAAATACCAAGTTTTTCTTGAATTGCTATTATATCCTTCCTCTTATATAAAAGCACCTCATATAAATGAGCAAATGTTTCGCTTTGATTGGATTTATTATTTGTACTACTTATCATATTTGCTATAATAAAATATCTAATATATTTAATGTAAAAAATAATTACGATTGATATGTTTATAGTATATGCAAAAATCTTTATTAATCCAGATGATCAATGATATATTTACATGCCTCAAAGAGACGCCCCATAGGGCCTGAAAATCGATACATTTCGTGATAAATTTCTGCTATATAACTACTAAACTACATCATTTTGCTTTATCGATAATATTGATTTTTGTTCCTTACGAAGCTTACGTTTTTTATTGTAACAAGCAGTACACGACAACTTTGTCTTCTTAGCTGGCGTTTCCTCTGATGTAACGACTTCCTCTTTTCGTTTGTTAACAGATGACATATCCTGACTTCGGTAATTATAAAGTTTATGTTGGTTCGGGCTGTTTCTAGCAGAGTACACAAAAGCGACACTATTCAATGAGCCGTTAGGAATAATTCCTAGAGCCGATGTCCTACTCAAGAAGAATAGCGTATACTTTCGCAGAAAAAAAAGAAGCATGGGAGGTAAGTAATCGTTAATAATATACGATGATAATTGATTGGCCGGAAATAATTAAAAACCCGGAAAATTATTAACCAATCACGTCGGGATCGACATAGAAACTCGTGGAACATGCGTAAATCTTTTTTTCGTTTACAGTATATTGGCTGGAAAATGCTTCTTACTACACATATTTTCATGATAAGGATAAGCTAAAACGAAGCTCGAAAAGGCAATAAAAATGAAGAACCTGTTGTTAATATAAGCTCCTTTATCAGAAATTGTGAGTTATAGGAGTTCGAGATCTCCACAATTCCCAGATCACCGTTGCATTAACCAACTTCGTTGCGATCGCCGAGATAAAAAGGGTTTCATTCAAGCGTCTATGACTTCATTCTCTACATATTCACGCACCTTGGCGTTAATAACATTTCTATGGAATCAGAATCGTAACAGGTTTGAAGATTTCTCTGTTTCTGGTATTTGTATGATTTCACTATGCTATGAATCGGAGATTTGTTTGATAAAGTAAAGTCGCTAATGTGTTGGATCATTCTAGCAAATTTCGAGATAAGTGAGTGAAGCAATATAAATAAGCAGAAACCATTTCACTTTGTAAGGTTAACGACGACATTTCTCTGACTTTATCGTTTCTCTCTATATCATTATATAGCTACGCCCTATCTTCCCGTAATTTTTTTGAGGTATGTTTTTATTCATGGTAGATATACTCATATTTGATGAATTCTATACATATAGAACTATAGAATAATAATTTTTTTGACAAGTAGTAATATTCGGAATGTCTTTTTCGTATTTGAGTGGAGAATCGAAGATCTATTCCATTGCCACTAAAAACTTTCGAGTAAAGATCGAAACATTGAATGAAGATATCGCAAGGTTATTTTTTGTAAACAAAGAGAATAACGAACCAATTGATTTTCCGGATAATATGGTTTTCAGAAATACGACAACTAATACAGATATATCACCAACGGTTGTTAAGGATAAAGAAAGCTATCTTGTGACTTGGATGTATAGCTATGAATTATTCGAAAATAGTAAAATAATTTTTAAGTTAGAACATAAAAGAGAACAAATCGGTAGTGATACTAGTAGAAGTTTGGCGGAGTATTTTGTAAAGAATAAATAGATTTTTTATCTATATTCGTGTCATGTAAATGCGATGCAAATTTCTTTTTTTGTATCCGCCTTACTACGGGCAATGTATTTCGTTTCGTAATAATAAATAACGACGCCTGATATGATTCGCAGATGGAGAAATCAGATCTTCACGTCTATCGCATGACAGATTTTTGCGTAACCAGGATTTCTCACATATACTAAAAATTTTTTCTGTCTTGTCAAAGGAAATACGACCACAAACGCTTTTCCTGTTCATATTGATAAGGGTCAGTTTGTTGGGGACCTCAAAAAAGTTATAAGGGAGGAGATAAATCTTCCTGAAAACGTCAAATCGAAGGACCTAAAGCTATGGAAAGTGGAAATTCCTGACGATCGCGACGATCAGTTAAGCAATCTCACACTTCAGGACGATGCCGAACTTTTAACAACGAAAAAGATCTCAAAATACTTTCCTGACTCACCAGCCGAGGAACATATCCATGTCATTGTTGAACCACCAGCGTTAACCCCCACTTCGAGCTGTGAACAGGAATTACTTAACCGCATCGCGTCGTTGGAGGCATCGATTAACAAGTCTGTCCATGGTACGTATATGTATAGGCACTATATGCCTGCGAAGCAAAAATTTTTCTTGGCAAAAAACCGTGAACACCGTTCACGATCAGAATATTTTCTTGGCAATTTTTTTTACTAACCAAACCTTTGTATCGTAGAGTTCGACGTTATCGTGAGTCCAAAGCGGACAAAAGGATTCAAGTGGACGGTGAATATCGAGCAAGCAACTTTCGAAGCTCTCAAAGATTCTATACGTGCTGTGTATCAAACTCCGGCTCTTGAAAATAATGGTGCCGTGTTCAACGTTGTGTGCGATAGCGGAAAATACTACCTCGAAACGACCAAGCATTGCGTGAAATGCTCCGATTGCTGGTATCAAAGAATAACCTCAAGTTTATCGTGTTCATAGAGACTCCCTCAAAGGCTTTCTCAGATTGGACTCTCGGCCCGGTTTGCCAGCTTTACGGCCTTAGTGGTGAAACGGTAGATCCAACATTGGCTGTGTTTCCGGTTTTTTCGTGCAGTAGTGTTGAACCATCGCATGAATCGTTTGAAAATCTCATGATCGAATTAAATTCCCGCCTTGACAACACCCCAATCAATTTGCTATCGATAGAGGCCACGAAATCCATATACGTCTATTCATACCTGCTTGCTGGAGCGAATAACTTCAAGGGAATGTTTGAGATTCGCCCTCAAAAGAATATTTCTGGTCCGAATGGTCATGGTCCTGTCGATTTCGCAGTTGACTTACGCCGAACAGCAAAAACAGTGGGAGTCACTGAAGTTAAGAAAGAAGATTTTGTTAAAGGCGTTGCCCAATGTGCAGTTCAGCTCGAGTCATCTTTGTCGAATCGTAGACGCAAGGCTAGTGAGGTGGAGGAGGAACCAACCGTTGGAAAAGTTTTTGGGATAGTCACCGATGCCGAAAAATTCTACTTTATGGAATGCTCGCTGGATGAACAAGAAACCGGTAATTGTTGTGTATGACGATGCTGATATGAAAGCCAAGGTAAAGAAAGTGCTTTCTCATATTATCTGGTTGTTGGAGGAGGTGCAGAAACCGGTGGAAGTTTCGCAAGATGGTGAACAATCAAGGGTAGTAAAAAAGTATAGGTCATCGAGTAACCTCACAGAAGAGTCGGGTTAGGTGATCATGTATCCCGGGTTACATCCCGAACTTTGTATTTATTTTTTTACATGTATTAGCCGAAGGCTTGCTCACGCTAATAAAATTTTTTTCTGATCGTGACATTTTGTCACGGTTTTTACCAAGAGGTGATCGACGAGTTCTTTATTAGTGATAAAGATGTTACGTGATTTTTATTTGAAATTAAAGGCATAAATTAATAAAAAATATTTTCAAGACGTATACAATATTCTTCCGAACATTTTGACAAATCGTATAAATTGATATTAAATATGCAATCTAAGGACGATTCATTGAGAGAATTGAATTCCAGGCTCGTAGCCGAGATTGATAAGCTTAGAAGAGAGAATGACAATATCAAGGTCGAGAACACAAGATTGAAACAGGCTATAAAAGAAAATACCGAACGTGAAGCTGAGTATGAGATTAGAATCGAGAAACTAGAGCAAAGTAACAAAGAGAATATAAACCTTAAAGCTGAAGTAATGAAATTAAGAAATGACATTGAGGAAATTAGACACAAAATTCCCTGCTCCACAGAAATCGTTAATAATACTCAGAACGTACCTTCTACAGAAGATATTTCATCTGAAAATTTTGAACAAAATCCCCGAGATGATAGTTCTAAGCAGATAGACTCACGATTTGATGAAAATCTCACGTATAATATAGTTGATAACGCTTCAAATTCTGATGAACCTAATAGCCGGAGGCTAGCTCACGCTAATGCTTCGGCATCTGGTATAACCGATAACACTTTAAATCCTAACGATACTCATGAGGAGTCTAACACATCTAATTTGGATACATACCAGGAATCGGTAAGCCCCACGTCTCCTATTCATACAGAATCCAAATCATTGGAAGAAAAGGAAGAAGATGAAATCATGGATTCAATGTATAAGGAACGGACCAGTAAAGAAATAATTCAGAAGATTAAGGAAAAGAGACTTCGGGATCAAGACTTATCTTTAGTTAATCAACCGGAATCTAAAAAGATGACACTCCCTTCATTATGTGATCCAAAAACCGTGACAAAATGTCACGATCAAAATAACTTTGACAATTCTGATGCCATCTCCATTAGCATCGCCGGCACAGCTGAATTATCCGAATCCGATAATCAAATTGTAGAAGGTTTAATACAAGAGATGACTTGTAATCAAGTACAAGGTATTGTTTCTGAAACCAATTTCACATCTTCAGATAACAGTAGGTCTTATATACAGGATATGATTCCGGGTTCTGTACAAAGTTTATCAGACTTATTTAATAAAGCAGTCAAATCAGGTCAGAAACAAATTTTATGTTGGTACTTTTATTCTCTAGAATTCGAAAATAAGGTTAAAAGCCTTACAACAGATGGCAGGATTAAAGATAAAACGGCAAGATCAAAAATATATAAGGATATGAAACCTTTTCTACCTAATATTACAGATGTAAATTTGCGTAAGAAAACTGAGAGGGCAAGAAAAATTCTTAAGCTATTTGGTGATAGAGGAGTAGGAATAGATAAAATCAAATACATTACATATAGTGCAAGTACAATTTCTGGATTGAAAGATACTCAAATTCAACATATCATAAATGAGGTGACTTCAAAAACTGTGACAAAATGTCACGATCAGACCACTCCCTCTATCACATTGTCTCATATGTCTAATTCGGAAGATATAATAAGTCAGGATAACAAATCTTTACCAGAGACTGAGGTAAACGTACCCGATAAAACCTTAGATTCTGACTTAGATGATAATAGCGATATTGATATAAACCAGCTTCTAGTTGAGAATTTCTCTGATAACGACTTACGAAGTGAGGATGCTAACGCAACTAGGGATAATGAAAATGATGACGAATTTTCTGATAACAACAAAGAGGAAGATGATGATGGGTTCTGTGGATTTTCTGACGATGATGATGAAGGATATTATTATGATTTAAATGCCGGTAAAACTTATACAAAATCTGAATATCGTTATTCAATCCGCGCATATTAATAGGATAAAACCTCATTTATGGAATAGCTGGGAAGCTAGCACATCTGTGTTAAGATGATCCGTATCTGAGGTTGTTATATCTTTAGTTTTACTAAAAGGCTCCGCTATTACATGTCTTCGTGTAACCTACTTTTTGCCACATAGAGACCAGAAATACGTTTTAATATTAACAGTTAAATATTTTTTTGTTGATGATGAACTTCATTAAGAATAAACATTTCGGACATAATGCTCATAAAAATACCAACCTTATTTTTAAACTTCATAATCATTCGTGGGTCAATGCGATTACCAGTAAAGCGATCCATGATTTATCAGCAACTAATTAATGTTCGTTCTTAACCTGCGAAATGATTTGCATGAATATCTTCGATTACGCAACGTCTAAACTCGAGAATACATGCTATTAAAAAATCGTTCTGGCAACTTCTAGTAGAGCTTAGAAATTTTGACGTGAGCCAGCTTCCACCTGATCTGTGGATTTCGTACATATCTTGAGATTTAGCTGGAAAGCTAGTACAAAGTACTAATCAAAGTGGGGGGTGTAGGTAATGACTATATAAAAGGGCGAAAAAATATTGATCTGTCCTTTCTATCCGCTTCATAGTAATATTTGCGACTTAAAAAACAAAACATTTAATCACTAATAGGGATATACAAAATAAGACACGAAGATAAAACCCACTTATATTACCTGTTTCACGAAAATTGAGGTAGATATATCACCGCATTGTTAATACCGATCCTTCTGCACATAATACCATGTTTGCTACGAGTAATACCCGACTCACTACTGAGCTCGCTAATCGTGATGCCAGAATTGTAACTGAACTCGATTCATGTGAGAAAAATTTATAGTAGAGATCTAAAGAATCTTGAGTCACAACCGAATTCACATCAACCAACGGGACACTCCAAAACGAGATAAGAATTGAGCCTATCGAGGAAACAGATCAATCCAAACTTCTGATTCAAGCCAACAATCATTTTTGAATATGACTTCAGAAATCTGGAACCAATTTTGATAGAATTATGGCAGAAAGAGTTCTTTTGATGATATGTGTGGTATCGTAGCCGTTGATATTCTTGATCTTGGGTGGGAAAACTTAGTAGAGATATGCTTGGATCGATAGCAAAACAAATGTAGTTTTTAATAATTCAGAGTAGCGGGAAGGAACTCTCATATTATGGGTTAGGGCTCGTGAAATTCCTTCCTTTAAACGTCCGCTACTCCATTAATTTTATTAAGTCACTCAATAAATTTTTTGTTTATAATAACACAGTTTCTGTGTAACATGATAACGAATGGCTACAAATTTACGCTTCATCACCATATAAGTCGAGGATTTTGTCATCCTGATCACGACGTTTGATAGTAACACGTTTATAGTTATCCTCATAGAGCACATACCAGAAGTTTTGTTTTAATTCTCTTACTTGTTTTGTATGATGTCGAAAGTCAATGATGGCCCAATTTTTTAATGGAACGTTAGCGTACTCGCCATCTTGTTCAAATCTTTCTGCGTGTTCCTTCAAACGATCACCCTCGCGCGTCAGCTCAATTCCCCAGCAAAGTTCTCCATTAACATAGAAATCCAGAAATCCAGCAGAGCCAAACACGGCACCAACATCAGCACTTATTGAAGTACCTTTTGGGACTACAGTTGTAGCAGTACGATACCATTCCATTTGCCAACTTCTCTCATATAAATGCGAATTAGCACCATATCCTTTTCCAAACGATTCATACAACTTAGATGGGCTCATGCGCTCAATTGTTCGCACCAAAAACTCGTCAAAGGTTTCTGCAGGTAATGACTTAAAATTTACAGGGGCGGTGAATAGGTGGTGGCTCAGAATAACTCGCATTATAGGAGCGGAAAATTGGATTTGTTCATTAGAATCAATCGTGGAGAAGAGACCCATCTTAATAAATTTCTTAACAACAGGATTTAAGGCATCAGCAGTAAAGGGAATGCCGATTTGATTGAGTAGCTTTTCGCGAATAAATTCTGATTCTTCATCAGTTATATTCCAATCACGGATCCAGTAAAAAGCACGTGCAGTTGCTATTAAACCATTTCGTAGATGTGATGAAGCAAGATACCGTAACATTTCCACTGTTTTTCCATTTTCACGAAATTGATTGCGTAACGCGGTTAAAATGAATCGACACAAACCAGGATGTCCACCAGTGAGATTAAAGATTGCCTTCCGAACAGGTTCAGGGATGATAAAACTCGGGCTACCCAAAATAGCATGTCTCTGAATATAGATCATTATAAGCTGATGGACTTCTTCCCATGTTAGAAGTAGGGCATTCAAACCAAGTGTATGGCGAATTTCCACGGGTGTCACTTGAGGATCAAGTGTTGGATGGTATGTGCCGAGCAAAATTATCCGAATATTTTGAAGATTTGATTCGCTTGATAAAAGGTCTTTCACTGTACCCCAAAAGAATGGAGCGCCATTACCATAGATAACCTGTATCTCGTCGATGAACACATAAGTAGACTTTTTGCATTTACTGATTTCTGTCCAGGTTCTACCAACTTTGTCCTTCCAGAAATTTTCAAAGAGGTTCTTATCGTAGATTTCTGTTCCACCATGTATACCAGCAAGACTAATGTATATGCTATCATAATTGAGACTTTCAAAATAGTCACGGAGCACCTGTCCAAGAGTACTCTTGCCTGATGATGGAGGACTGCGCAAAAGGCTAATATGGTTATTTTCTACAAACTTAGTGATCCACTTTACCCTTTCAGATGAGATAACCATAAGACTGTCCCGACCCTCATCTGATTCATCAGGATCTTTAATATCAGATAAATCGTAGAAAGAAGAAATGAACTTTAGAAAACAAAACAAGATTACGGGTTAACGTTACAAGCAATATATTACATACATGTTCGTTTCTCTTTCTTTCGGTTCCCACTTTCTTCGTCACTTTCCCCTTTTCTTTTTGCTAACCGAATGAAAGAAATAAAAGAATGAGATAACCGCAAATTTCTTGTTCGAAAGGTAAGATACTTACCAGTGGTAACAGGCGGTTGTACGATAATTCGGATGTTTCTGGTGGATTCTTGAAAATATTCTCCAACAGTATCGAATGGAGATAACATCACACCCTCTTTGATATTCTCGGCGTATATTTTGGTTTTCATATCTTTACCTCTGGTAGGAATATCCACACTCCATAGATTCAGTTTGTCCGCGTCAACATTGGCAAATGAATTTTCCTTCTTTTTTTTGATGAGTTCCTTGAGATGCCCAACGCTCGTGTCTTTGCTGATATCAACTGGGAAAGAGTTCCCAATGGCATCACCTAAAACGGCACAAAATATCTGGAAACTCTATAAAAATTATTTAGAAATTGTATTATTCAAAAATTATAAATACCATGATTTCTGCGGTTAACATTATAGATAAGTTACAATGTTCTAAAATGGTTAGCGTGAACGTGTTTAAAGTAAAAAAATTTTTCAGTGAAAAGTACGCAACTGACGTATTTATAATTTGAACTCCGCTTAGGAGTCATCCGTTTTCGAGTAATAAAACCTGATCGTGTAACCTGTGTAACTTAACATGCATAATCGATTTTTCACAAAAAAACAATATATAAGTAGCTACTGTATGTCTATCACTTTGCTTAAAGGAAATACTGTCGATATAGATAAGGATCAGCTTGTTGGCCACCTCAAAAAAGTTATTAAGGCGGAAAAGGCACCAGAGTTCGATAATTTTCCTGCAAGTTATGGAAGGTGGAAATTCCTGATGATCACGACGATCAGCTGAGCAATCTCTCACTCCAAGATCAAACCGAACTCTTTGCAACCCGAAATGTAGAGGATTACTGGTCCGAGAAGCTACCCAAGAGGCATATCCATGTTATAGTCGAAACGTCTGCATCAACCACCAATTCGAGTCAAGAGGTATTAGAATTAAGGGAGAAACTTGCTTTGTTACAGGTATCGATTAACAAGTTTGTTCATGGTACGTGTTTCAAGTTATATGTATAGGCAGTGAAGCAAAAATTTCTTGGATTTTTCCGGGACCACGCGGTCTCGCAAATTTCTTGGCAAAAAGTGATCGGTAAAAACCGTGACAAAATGTCACGATCGAACATTGATTCTATGTTAACGTTTTTCTGTTATATAGTTTTCGAGGAAATCGATGATAATGACAAAACCCTCGATCAATGTATGAATGAAATAACGTTGAGACTTTCGAATCTGGAAACAATGCAAGATAGTACCAATGAAGCCACACGTTGTGTATTTATTACGTCTATATTAAACGCATCTCTGGCTATCGTCCGACGAATTACCAAGGAAGAAAAAAAAATCTATATAGCGTACCAAAAAGGAGTTTCCGGTGAGGAGGCATCTGGTCGTGTCGACTATGCCATAAAAGGGAACGAGGATCTTATGTGTATAGCAGAAGGAAAGCCTCGTAACGTCGAAATCGGTTACCTTCAGAATATTATGCAATTAGAAAGTGCATATCATACAAATAAGAAGAAGCGTACAGCAGATGAAGCTTTCAAGGATGAATACGATTATCTTTACGGAATAGTTTCTACAGGTACTTATAGATTTTAATATCATATAATCCCCGCAATAGATTTTTTGGTTGTGCCACATACGATTTATAAATTTATTTTTTATTGTGAAACAATGTGGCTCTGCCTCTAGCAACGGAATGGCATTTCATCATTTTTGCTACCGATGGGATCTATTGCACCAGTAAAAGTGAATATCAAATAAATCTCTCTAAAACGGCGCTCGAGAAGGATCTTGACTCTATTCGAAAAGACGTAAAACGGGTGTTAGGTGTTATTGTTGGATTATTGAAGGACCGGATTAGTGTAGATAATTCCCCAAACAGTAAGAGATCGAGGATCAAAAAATTTACCGAAGAATAACGGGTAGATAATTCTCTCGCCTCATGTATTTTATATATATTAATAAAATTTTTTTTTCTGATCGTGGATATAAATCAGAGGGTCAAAGAGCACACTCTATTATCATTTAAGTTTATTATTATAATTTTTCTAAAGCCTATTGATTATACATGATTTTGACTCACGGAATGAGAATAATGCTGTCTCTTCGAGACGCCCCTAAAGGGCCCCATCTAAACAATATTTCGCATATATATTGATCATTTAGACTAAGTTTGTGATATAGCTAAACAGTAATATCGATTCGAAGCTTTTTTTGCGAATGGCCCATTTAATCGAAAAAGCCATGGAATAACGGCCCGTTGGATAATTTTGGCAGAATTTGTTCGGATTTTCATCCACGATCTAAAGCGCCTTTGGATTATTTCGCAAGCGTATCTTTTACTGTATTTGGGTCTTGCGGGACAATTGGTGTTATGTATAAGCCCGTCGGGTACTATGATAATCAAAAAAATATCCGCATTCCAAACAATGTATCGCCAGAATGGGGAAAAAGATCCCGAGTTCATCCTCGATACGAAAACAGTCTACGGGGCAGACAGTAGTCTTATTGGGTAGGCCGTTCCAACTACAAGATAAACAATAACCGTAGCATAAACGTTCTTTCATGATTATCGAATACACTGGCATTCCAAAGTTTTTTATGATTCATTTTATACTTACGGTGGAGGTACTGCGGAGAAGATTTATCCCGTAATTAAATCTAATAAACAGTTACGTGGTTTTAGTGTTATTGTTACCGTAGTAACATAAATTTCTTTAATTTCATAATTTTTCAAACTTGGAAAATGCGACCAATCAATTGATCTTT